TGTTGTAAGTAGCAGTATTTTTCCTATCAAAAACAAACTAAAACTATAGTTTTCCTGAGTCATTCCTTCCTTCTTTAGCTGCAGTTGCATGCAGACTTTGCTGAAGTGATGCTTTTTTGTCTCTGATTATAATTTCCTCTACAAAAACCTCCCTCCTTTGTGTAGTTTGTGAATTCTGTTGAACGGTTTCTGACTGTTAACTTGCTTTTTGAAATGTTCACATAATCGTGTGCAGGAAAAAGGCAGTTATGGATACACTTCAGGGTACAAATCCCATACTACTGGGGTAATGGAGCATTTCTATGAGGTATAATCTGGATTTAAATTTAAAGTAGGTGCACATAGCATGCGGTGTAAATATAAAGCTGTTGGTCTTCATTATTGAGTTTATTATCAGTTTCCATCCTGTCAGATATCCTCATGAGGCAATCTCTCTCTGTTTGTGTGTTTGCATGTGTGGTCAGTAAACTCCCCTAAGACGTGGCCCTGTGTGACTCAATTTGCCTGAAGAGAGTGCCAATCCAAAGCACGTAAGCATGGCTCCAAAAATAATGTGACCTAATTCTGTTTAAATGCCTGGATCTGAAATATGAAATAGGATACCAGAAATAAAAATGTGTTTGATGCGGCCCAACAGAGCAAGCACTAAGCCATTACACTCACGAACAGTTAGTTTATATTTTGCTCTTTTAACTTGTATATATTCTGTGTTTATTCTGTTTTTATATTGTTGTGCACATCGGGAGCAATTGGGCTGGAGTCAAATTCCTTGTATTTTTGATAAAACTTGGCAGTAAAGTTTATGCTTATGCTTAAGTGCATGTTAGTTTATGGAAATAGCTGTGAGAAATATATTTCCATATTGTATGTTTCCTCAGTAGGTATGTGGTGTTAAATTGTGATGCAACTGTGAATGCATTGCTTGTAGCCTGTCCGTTATATTGTGGTGAGTACTCTGCCGGGGGGTGGGCTGGTACACAGAACAGAGAAACATAGAGAAGCCATGATTACATCTTGTTGTTTCAAAAGACAATAAAAGGAAAGGATAGCTGGTCAGACAGGAGCAAAGATCAACAGACTTTCAAAAGCTTCCCTTTATGGTAGAGTCTGATCCACATTTATCAGCCAACAACAGCAATAACTGGAGTTTATCAGCTTTTATCGACAAACAGAAAGACTGACATGCATTTATGCCTTTTTTCCTAAAAACTACAATCTTGTACAAATACTTTAAAGTTTTTTAAGACTTGAGTCTACAGCCATGCCTGCAGCTTTATGAGGCGTATGACAGACTAGTTACCAGGAATGCATTCACAGTTGCTTCATAATTTAATATCACATTCCCGCTGAAGGAAAAGACAGACCACAGACCATGAAAGCTTTTCGTTTCTTTTCTTTTTTTTATTTTACAGCTTTTTGCTTCAGAAAACAAATGTGCACTGATTATTATTTTCTGTGAAGGACCGCATTCTCTTGGGGCAAAGTGAACCTTCCTTAACAACTCCTACCCAGATTCCTTCAGTGCCATAGTGAACCAATTATTCCAATAAACCTACTCAGTGTCCAAAAAGAGAGAACTGAAATAGTTTATTAAGAACCAGGGTGGTGCTGAATGTGTGCTCGGGAAACCTTCTGTGGACAAGTGAAGATTAATGTTATATAGTGATTATTTGTGTTTAGGTAGTTTATGAAATGGCTGCATGAACATAGAACATTTGTAAAACACATTTTGTTTGGATACAGGGAAAAGCATCTGAAACAATTCACTAACATCGGTTCCTTTTTAGCAGCAAATTTACACTGGCATGATTCAAGGATAGCAATGGCTCCTGAAGGCTCACGTGAGTAAATGTTGTTCACTCAGACTGATGATGCAGTAAAGTGTGATTTCACTTTTTTTTAAACCCTAATAGTCTAATAATTGTTGTGTTAAATTCTTATATTTTATTTTAATCAGTGGTAAGAATGTATTAGGATGGTGTAGTATCTGAGGTATGATGTGATCATGACTTTTGACTTTTTGACATGGCTCTGCGCAGGTATCCAAGATGACCCAGATGTCAAGGTGATGATGGCAGGGTCAACTCTGAGGAAAGTAAAGTCCCGCTCATGGAAGAAGCAGCGGCATTTCCGCCTCCTGGAGGATGGCATGACAATCTGGTACAAGTCCAGATGGGCGGGCAGAAGCCACTCCACCTGTGAGTGTCAGTAGTATCTATAATATCAGTCTGGAGACTGCAAGACAGGGACAGAACATAAAGCATCCCGTTATGCCCCTAAACTCTCACTGTACTATAAATTACAGCCCTACAAGCCAGAGCTACCAGACACATTTCCTACAAGTTATGCCCACCTGCAGCTGCAGGCACATGTGGTTGTGGTAAGGGGCGGGGTTTAGTGGTGTAAATAGATGCATAGCTATATTTTCTTTACTGGGACTGGACTCCAACCCCATAACCCTGACTTTATTCTCAGTCCAAAACTAAACATATTCATTTAATCATGGAGTTAAGTACTGCTGTTTTGCTAAGTGTATTGTGTAGATCAATATCCGTCTCAAATTTGTTTGGTAAATATCAATCTACAGCCAGGAGATTGTTGTTTGCACTTCAGATGTTTGTGCTGATTAACAAAGATACAGATTTAAAGCTACAGTATGTGACTTTTTAAAAATATTTTTGTTGTAGAAATGTGCTCCATAACTTGTCTTAATGTAGAGAGGTGCCGTTGAAGCCTCCTGTGACCCAGACTCATTGAACAGCACTGGCAGCAGTGCAGAGACATTAGCTTGTAAATGTTTTTGAGCGAGACTGACCTTTCTAACCGGTCAGAGATTTTCAGTTAAGATAAGCTAATGGCTACAGGTTCCAGGAGCAATATTTTCCACTTATATACCACTTTTGTTAGAGTGGTATATTTGGGGCTATCCAGGAGCTTGAACCATGAGAGGGTAAGGGATTTCTGAAGCTGCTAAACCCAGTAGTTCTGACAGAGTATTCTGTCAACTTTACCCAGCCTAATCTCTCTGAAACACAAGGGGAAAACTCTTGATGGCAACTACAAAGATTGCAAATTATGACAGATTATAACAATAATGAAAAAACTGAGACAACAGCCAACAATAATACATCTAAGATTTGTCATTAGGTATTTTGTATGTACAGTGGGTACGGAAAGTATTCAGACCCTTTGCTGTGACATTCATATATTGAACTTAGGTGCTGTCCATTTCTTCTGATCATCCCTGAGATGGTTCTACACCTTCATTTGAGTCCAGCTGTGTTTGATTATATTGATTGGACGTGATTAGGAAAGCCACACACCTGTCTATATAAGCCCCTACAGCTCACAGTGCATGTCAGAGCAAATGAGAATCATGAGGTCAAAGGAACTGCCTGAAGAGCTCAGAGACAGAATTGTGGCAAGGCACAGATCTGGCCAAGGTTACAAAAAAATTTCTGCTGCACTTAAGATTCC